GGGGGGGGGGGGGGGGGGGGGGGGGGGGGGCGCGTTGACGTAGGATTTTTTGGGGGCGATCATTCGATTTTTAGAATGACAGAAGGGGGGATCAGTCGTAACTGAGAGCCCAAACGGGAGGATCACTAAATGTCACATGCCCGTACAGACTTGGTGGATGGCTTTTTGGCACTCTAAAAAGAAACTTTGCAGTTTCCAAACACTTGGGATGGTTAGTTGCTGTTATGCCAATTGACATCAGACCACATCAGTCACGGGGCTCTCAGTAGAACGGCGGAATTCTACCGGCTATAAAATCGAATGTAGCCACATGTTCTGGTCATTGAAATTTGTATACATATAACAATAAATTAGAACTTACAGACTGAGACGTTTCAAGAAGAAAATAGTATTTTTATTAAAGAGGTGAAACAACGCTACTTGCTACATCTAATTTTATAAATCATAAACAACTCATTTTCCCTAACACTTTCCCTCCAAAATGCAGGAAATCGCATCTTTGGCCAACAAAAATTTCAAATTTTCTTGGGGAACTTACCCCCGGACCCCGTACGCTGGCTTGTCCCTTCGGGCGAATCGGACCTCACTTTAATTTATGTCGCCTGTTATTCTTTATTCGACGCCTGTAAAAACTTCTGTTAGAACCCTGATCAGATATCGGGAAGACACGGATCAAGAGACTGCACCGTGGCGGCTTCATTAATCTGTAAGTCAGCATCATGTTTAGAAATATTACTGTCATATGACCGTTAAAAGCACTAAATATATATGTCGAAAGGTGAATATGTGTGCGAAGACATCGATGGGGGATCATGAAATTTATTAATAGCTATGAGGGGGATACTTCAATAAAATAACATTTAAATGGGGGATCAGCGAAATGTTACTGTCTTTAGCCGAAAATCCCCCGCCATCCCCCAGGCGATAAACAATGACCGGCCGAAAGTGATTATTTGTATAGAAAGGCTTTTTCATAGTTTAAGATGGTAAGCAAAAAAATCTTTATTATTTAATTATTTCTTTTTCAAAGGTACCAAAAAAAACAAAAAAGAAGAAAAAAAGAAGAAAAAAAGAAAAAACCACGCAAGTTACTGAGAAAAATAACATAGACGCCCCATGCAAAAGAAAACCGCTGCACGGCACGTTGGTTCTTGCTTGGTTTTCTTTGTCACGAAATGTTTAATTTGCTTTAATCGAAAAACGCCGAGAAGCGGAATTGATTTTCACTGCAATTTTAAAATAATAAAATTTCGACTTCTCATTTTAGTGAGGAAAATTCATATTTTCTCGAAAAAACGTTTCCTCCGTGTTTTCCTCTTAGATCCCGTGTTTTTCACGTACACCCCGCGTTTTCCACCACACCCCGCGTTTTCCACGTAGACCCCGCGTTTTCCACCACACCCCGCGTTTTCCACGTAGAGCCCGCGTTTTCCACCAGTCCCAACGTTTTCCACGTAGACGCCGCGTTTTCCACCAGACCCCGCGTTTTCCACACTCCGCGTTTTCCACACCCTGCGTTTTCCACACCCCGGTATCCCGTGCCCCGAGACCTCGGCCCCGTGTTTTCCACCTAGCCGATTTTTGCTCATTTTAAATTTAATAATACATTTAAGTTGCCAACGTGACAATTATACTCTTCACGAAAACGTTTGTAGCTTGATACTTGTGTTTTCCTCGCAAAGGTATGTAACCTAAAATTCTTGTTTTCTCGAAAACACAGGGAAGATGTGCTAGTATTCTTTTCACAGCTTGAGATAAATGGAAGAAAGTTGAATGTCGGATGAAGAAATGGAAGAGGAACGATTTGCTTTATTTAAAACGCATTTTTTTTTTTTTTNAAAGATAACTGTCGACCATTTATCTGACGACCTTCCACCCTTTTTCCTGTCTTTCTATTAACCTATTGACACCTGGCACGTTTTGCAAAAACGCATTTTTTTTTTTTTTTTTTTTTTTTTGACCGATAAACAGGAACTAATCTAATTATCAAATTGTCACGGAACAAGACGGTCTGTTTCCACTTTTGGCGTTAACAATAAAACCACTTAAATTTAAACTACACGCTGATATCGATTAATACAACTGAGGAGCGTTTCAACGAGAGGTATTGAAAGTCAACAACGCTACTTGACCGAGATTATATCCTTCATCGGTGAACGATTCCCCTCAAAAGACTGATAAAGTTTATGCTTTCAGTAGGTGCCACGGAGTCTGCAGCAATATTTGAGCAGTTTCCTGGGTTTTTCAATTTGACAAGTTTTAATGCCACTTACTCGGGAGAGTTTCGGCTGCGGGTATGAACATTTTGGACTCTTTGATGGAGACAATTAAAGGATGAAATAAGCGCACTAATGTAGTTTGCAAACAATAGATGGTATTTCTTGAACCAAGTTAGACGTAATTCCAAAAGACACGCAGTCACAGTAACATCCTCTTATCGTGCTAACGATGCTAGAACGCATGCTTATGACTTATTAGGGTTCTACCACAAGGAAAAGCGCTCAACGTTAGTGTGTGATCTTGTATGAAATGTATCTTCCACCTGATGTATGAAGTTGACACTAACGCTTATTAATCTGCGCATGCGTCTAGAGCAAATATTGGTTTTGTTCTAAAGAGAAAAGTACCACAAGGAGAGCAAGGGGCTTTCTGAAACAAATATACAGCTTTTTGAAGTAAACAAAGAAGTAAGGTAGGTACATGCACCGCCCATTTTACTTAGTGCTCACAAGTACCTACCCCCATCCTAACCCCCCTTCCTGCAAGCCTAACTAATTAATTGAACTTAATTAATTAAACAAACATTAAAGTTTACACCTTATTTCCATAGTGCCATAGTGCCATAGTGCTTTAGCGACGTCAACCCCCAAAACATCCCAATAGTGCACTCTGCACTAAAAATGCTTTCCGCTAATAAAATACAAATTAAGTCTCTTTTTTCTGGATTTTTTAATTTGTTAATCAATAGATTTTTGTAACGATGTACTTATTTTAATAATAACACTGACAAAAGTTCAAATGAGGCCTGAAACTACTATGAAATTGATGTTAAAATCCTTTAAAATCCAAACTTTTTTGATGCGATCCACGGCATCATCAGGGTTAAGAAAAATATTCCGCGTAAGGCTTCTATACAAATGGAAAGTAAAAATGTGTGAAAAGAGTAGGAATGTAAATTGTATAAAACAAATATGGTAAGGTACAAATGTGAGTAAGAAATAAAATATTTTCCTGGAAATAGGATTTTTATGCCCTTTCTCTGCTTGTGTATTGTTTCATTCAGAGAGGGCCTGGGACCGGCAGGAGAGATATTAGTACAATGCAGTCGACCCCCCTGTAAAGGTTTCGCGTAGATCACATGACCTACCAAGCCAT